CGTTGGCAATGTGTTACCCTTTTACAGCTGAGGTGGCTACATACAACCGTAAGTTCTATGTTAACATTTTCTTCTTTACTACAAAATCGGTGACATTGTGTCATCATTTTGCAGCTGAGGTAGCTTGATGCAAGCGTAAGTTCTATGTTAACATTTTCTTCTTTACTAGAAAATCGGTGGAGTGCTGTCATCATTTTACAGCTTAGATGGCTAGATGCAACCGTAAAATCTTTTTTAACAATTTCTTTTTTTTTTCTGTAAAATTATTGGCAAGTTTCTTTTCTCGTACTTCTCTCTTATTGAACGTTCTTCTGGCCTCTTGCTTTCCAGTCAATTTTGAAATTGAATAATTTAAATCCAATGTCAGTTGTTATCTTCTGTCTTCTTAATTCTTGTCCTTTATTATTTATAATGTTTTCTTAGCCGCCACCTTACGTCATAGTGGCTTTATCGCCTTGATTGTAGTGCCATGATAAAATAATAATAAGGATGACAATACGTGAGTGTCTGCTTGCGCATACGTAGTGAGATATCATATGACAGGAGGCTAAATTAATTGATGCCTTCGCCACAGATATATTCAAAATGGCTGTTGATATTGGCGGGAAACAGCAGCGCTTTGATTCCCAAAGCGTGCATCGCAAAAGTTTTGTAATTCCAGGTAATTCAATGCGTTATCACACAGTCAAAATGACAGGAAAGGCATGTAATTAATAAATCCTGTATTACTCAAACGGCTTCAACACTAGAAGATAGACACGGTTGATATTATGGATTTCTCATGAGCAGTATCGAAAAATCCAATGAATTATTAGTACATCTTTCCAATGATATATTAGTGTTACTAATATTTTTTATACCAAGAAAATATAACGCAACTAAAGCGAAATAAATGTTAGACATAGGTCTGCTTTACACTAGAGTATAAATTAATGTACAAGTTGGTATGTTTTAAATTTCATATTAAATTTGTAGGTCTGATGAATTGGATCGTGATTACGATACCAATGTAATAAATTAAAACCATGGAATATTAGTGTTTGAGCATTTTACATTATATTCTTGCTCTGTCTTGTACACAGAAATCTACCTAAATTTTATTCTCTTGGCTATATATATATATATATATATATATATATATATATATAATCCAGCCTTCCCTGACGATCTCCTTATGTGAAACCTTGGTAGGTTTGTCTGGGTCTCAAGCTCTCTCTATCTATCTATCTATCTCTCTCTCTCTCTCTCTCTCTCTCTCTCTATATATATATATATATATATATATATATATATATATATTATATATATATATGAAGAAATATAGTTTTAAGGTGTTATATTAACGGGATAAAGTGCTCAATATCAGAGATATAGCGTATGTAGATATAAAAATAAAAGTGAACATTGAAGTCAACACTCAGGGCGACAGGCTGTTTCATGCTAGACGCAATCGTCAGGCGGCCTGACGATTGCGTCTAGTATGAAACAGTCCGTCGCCTCTGAGTGTTGGCATTTGAATTCCTGTCGATAAAAAAAAGTAAATTTAAAAGTTAGTTATAAAAATAAATAAAAAAGTAAATTCCAAAATAAGTTATAAATATAAAATAAAAAAAGTAAATTTAAAAGTTAGTTATAAAATAAAAAAAATAAATTCCAAAATAAGTTATTCCGCATATAAGAACCCAGAACTATAGAACCCAGCCTGCCCTGCTATTTACCTATAGTGTTGATAATAGATGGATTCATACCTTTCCCAAGGGTATGAACACGTAAGTGAATGTAATGAATTCGATAGAAATTCGAACTCGGATCTCCGTTTCCTCAATAGGATCGTCTGTCCCCTAATCTACCTTACCTCGAGTATGTATATATCTATACAAAAAAAAATCTGAGAAAAATAAATGCTTGTCATTCATTTCTTTCGACTATTCTGTTCCGCCCGTTCTAATACGGTGTTACCATATCACAGATATGGTAACAGATATGGTAAACTGCTACATGTCAGTTGATGCTAGACAATCTCCTCACAGACGAAAAAGTGACTTGAAGCAAACATTTCAACGATCTCTCCAAACACAAGTTAATGACGGCAAAAGCGACAGCAAAACCCGAACGCGCATTGAAATAGCGGAAGATGCTTTCAAAAAGTTAAACAAAGCATTAAGAAACATGAAAAACAAAAAATTTCGTTAGAAACAAAGAAAAAAGTATAGAACATTGCATGTCATCACTCCTCCTGTATAGCAGTGAATGATGGACAATCTACACACAGACGAGCAAAAGACTTACAACAAAAGCAGCGTTTATCTACAGAAGGATGCTGAGAATGTTTGGAAGCAAAAAGAATATTTATACTATAGAACGCACAACGAGGAAATAGGGCTTGGAAAATCTGATCCTCACAGGACAGATTGATGGCAAGAGGGACAGAAATAATAGGAATGTGGCACTACAGAAAGATGCTGAGAATGTCATATACTGAATATGTGGGCAACGACGATGTTTTAGAGAAAATGGAAACAGAACGAAAACTTATAGTTACCATCAGTAAGAGACAGTAGACATTTCTAGGGCACATAATGAGGAAAGAGGGCTTGGAAAATCTGATCCTCACAGGACAGATCGAAGCTAAGAGAGACAGAGAAAAACAACGCATAACCAACAGAGGGAGACTGAGTAAATGGAGTACAGAACAAAGTTTAGAATCTGTAAGAAAATGAGAAAAGATACGGACGGAAAATAATTTAAATTTATGGGAAATAGATGGAAGGTGCGTCAGTGAAATCCGAAGGCCTGTTGGGATAGCGAACGAAAAAAGCTAAGTAAAGTATTGACACTAAGATGGCCGAGGTGTCGTTTTCGACACCTTCAAATTTTCAACAGATTACTATGGAATAAATACTTTTGGTTCGATGACTTTAATGGGGAATATCAAAGTGGAAATACTTTTTTTCTTGGATAAGATTCCATTAACGGAATTCTTCAATATTGTCTAACCTCAGTCTTGGTGAAAAAAATAAAAAAGCATTTTCTCGAGGAGACCATTGAACAAGGTAAGACTATCGATCCTTGGTGAAAATAACACTGGTTCGAACATCGTAGACTGGCGGTACACAATCACATGCAAAGAACTGTAACAAATAGCATAAACCGCATCGAGACTTCCATGTCATGCATAATGCCAGCTTTCTAACCGCTTTCATAACCGTTTTCTAATATCAATGTCTAAAAAAATGGCTTTGAGCAAGTGAAACATGGAGGTTGTGGCAAAGACCAAAGTACTTTGAACTGGCACTACACAATCAGAAACTAAGAAATGGACCAAATAGCAGGAACCACATCACTTGAGGACTCTGGACAGCAGCAACTGCTCGAATCGATATCACTCGGTGGGAAAATAATGAAATAATAAAAAAGTTTACTTTCCACCCGACTTCAAACAAAAGGATTGGAAAAAAAATCCCCCATCAATATAAGAGAAACAAAGATAGTAAAAATAATGCAGACATTGCTAAGAGCTACAAAGTATATAAAGTTGTTTGAAGGCCGGTTCACTAGATGAAATAAAAGGTTAGTAAGTGTTGTAAAGTAGTTTCCACAGTGGAGGCTTGTATTTCGCTAAGTCGGTCCTAAAAAGGGCCCGACGTACAAAACGTTAGGAACTTGCAATAATAATAGTTAATGACGCAGCAATCTAGTTGTGATGGTTGATACTTCAATGTCCGACATCGACTGACTCACTCAACACCACTGAGCTCAACTGGCGACCGCTACTACTACTACTACTACTCATTATGTGTGGGAGAGTCTATTACAATAGAATAGGCACTGTCCTAGTATAACAGTAAGGAAACTCCCATCAATAATAGAAAGAGCGATAACAGCTACTGGACTTGAGAAAAAATATTTTCCTGAAAATTGTTTTAAGGAAAAATTTAAAACCAAGAGTAATATTAGCAGTTCAGTAAATGATACGAAAGTTTAACCTTATAAGAAACCAGATAATGTTACCGTTATCTTTAGAAATGAGGACAACCGTTACTACACATTGATCACAGACCGATGACCAGGGTGTGAATAAAAGCGGAACTTGAGGAGCACTGACTGCTCGTTCAATGAATGTAGTATGTTTACTCATAAGGAAACAGATAATATTAACGTTATCTTAAGAAATGAAGACAACAGATACTACACATTGATCCCAGATCAATGACAAGGATGTGAATAAAAGTGTAACTTTAGTAGTACTGACTGTTAGACGAATGACGAATATTTCCTTATCTGGAAACGGATAATATTAACGTTATCTTTAGAAATGAAGACAACAGATACTACACATTGATCGCAGATGAATGACCACGGTGTGAATAAAAGCGTAACTCGAATAGTACTGGCTGCTTCACGAATGACGAATACAAAGAAAGGGTTAATATTAGCATTACTATTATAAGAACCTATTTGTAAACACTTAACATTAATACATTAAAAAACTAAAAATTAAGAAGCTCAGATATCTTTATTAAACATACCTTCATGCGGCAATAAAGGACAGATTGATTCGACGCAATCTTTGCAAGTAGTGTAGATTCGAGATATTTAACTTGAGCAACGTTACTGGCATCTTTCAAAAATCAAATACCGCAGGAAGAATTTCAAACGGTGATCTTTAGTCTAGCCCCGACACGTAACATTTCTCTAGTACCATCCATCTTTATCGAGACAGATGGACTTGTCCCAAAAACAAAAAAAAAAAAAAAAAAAAGAACCCCCTAAAATGTAAAGATCTTGCATAATGTAGAATTAATTCAGTCTCGTGGATTATCTGCCGGTGTCAGTATCGATTCTTATCTTCGTGAGGATCCGATGTCGTCAGAGTGTTAATCCCGCTGCATCGCAGGGAGGTCGTTCGCTTCATGTTAATATGGACTCAGCTTCGAGGATGATAAAGTCACCAGCCGATTCAGACGAGTCATTCCGGGACCAGCAGTGATATTTCACCGATGAATAGGCCGGGGTGTACTCAAGGGATTAGATCAGGCTGGAAAGTTCTTCTTCGGCGCGACGATGGATTCTTGTGATAAGTGTCTTGGGAACGTCGTCGGGAAATCGACAATTGATTTTCTGTGCAGATGTGGTTGAGTCCGCCTAAGAGGAAGATATAAAATAAGGTAGGAACGGGAGGAAAGACAAAATACAGATATTATTCTTTTTTCTTTCTTTTTTTTTTTTTTTAAATATTTCATAATAGTAAAGTTTTCTTTCTTTTTTCCGCTATGTATTCTACTATCAGTCCTGCTACATGGCAGTTGATGCTAGACAATCTCCTCACAGACGAAAAAGTGACTTGAAGCAAACATTTCAACTGTCTCTCCAAACACAAGTTAATGACGGAAAAAGCGACAGCGAAATCCGAACGTGCACTGGAATAGCGGAAGATGCCTTCAAAAAGTTAAGCAAAGTATTAAGAAACATGAAAAACGAAAAATTTCGTTAGAAACAAGGAAAAAAAGTATAGAACATTGTCATCACTCCTCCGGTATAGCAGTGAATGATGGACAATCTACAAACAGTCGAGCAACAGACTTAAAACAAAAGCAGCGTTTATCTACAGAAGGATGCTGAGAATGTTTGGAAGCAAAAAGAATATTTATACTATAGAACGCATAACGAGAAAAGAGGGCTTGGAAAATCTGATCATCACAGGACAGATTGATGGTAAGAGGAACAGAAGTAATGGGAATGTGGCACTACAGAAAGATGCTGAGAATGTCATATACAGAATATGTGGGCAATGACGAAGTTTTAGAGAAAAAGGAAACAGAACGTAAACTTATAGTTAACATCAGTAAGAGACAGTAGACATTTCTAGGGCACATAATGAGGAAAGAGGGCTTGGAAAATCTGATCCTCACAGGACAGATTGAAGGTAAGAGGGACAGAGGAAAACAACGCATAACCAACAGAGGGAGACTGAGTAAATGGAGTACAGAACAAAGTTTCGAAACTAAGAAAATGAGAAAAGATACGGATGGAAAATAATTTAGATTTATGGGAAATAGATGGAAGGTGCGACAGTGAAATCCGAAGGCCTGTTGGGATAGCGAACGAAAAAAGCTAAGTATTGACACTAAGATGGCCGCGGTATCGTTTTCGACACCTTCAAATTTTCAACAAATTACTATGGAATAACTAGTTTTGGTTCGATGCTGAGGCTTATGGACAATTATTGAATTTTAGCAAAGATGCTTAACAGACTTAATTCTTTAAAAAATATTCAGTGGAATAGCTGATATTTGAGGTTTTACATTGAATGGCCGAGGTGTCGTTTTTTGACACCTAGGCTATTTATAGGATAAATACATTGAAAGATTTCTCACAAGCAATAATACTTGTGTTTATGTCCCCTATCTTTCTATTTATCTATCTATCTATACACACACACATAATTTTTATATATATATATATATATATATATATATATATATATATATATATATATATATATAATCACTTTCTTTCAGTATGAGGTATACTAATATTTGTGAATTTCTTTTTTCAGACTTGTTATTCCTGACTTGAATATTGAATATATTAGAGATGGCTGCTTCACGACGTAATGGAAATAAAGATGTCAAAATAGCTGGCCATCCTAGTGTTAAGGGAATGGAAATGTATATAAAGTGTTAAGGTGTGGGAAATTGACTTCAGAAGCAAAAGAAATACGTTCTGAACCGCCATGTCTGATTTCTGAGAAGGTAGTGAAAGGTAGATAAAGACGAGACCGGAAGCTAAAAAGATGTGGCTCTTTTGATAAATGCGAAAAAAAAAAATGACATAAACAGACCACGTGACTGAGAAGGAAAACCTTATGAAAATAGGGACTACAAAGAAACGTATACTTACGATCAGAATGAGACAGCTTAAAATTATGCAGCATAATGATATAAAAAAAATGGCTTGGTGAACTAAACACAAACACGATCTGCTACCTTCTTCTAGCCTGGACCAAAGGGCCCAGGCTGCGGTCAAATCTACCTCCCCCAGCAGCTTTCAAACACACAGTGCCATTTTCCTTTGGAACATAGATGAATCCGGACCGTTTAAATCTGGAGTCCTAAAAATGGCGTTTCAAGGTCAGGAGTATTTCCAAATTATATTTAAGACCTTTCCTTTTTGTTCCGCCTTATACTTTGCTTTGCACTGTAGATATATTCTCCACGTGGGACATGTGTATATAATCTTAATAATGCCAAAGTGACATTCATTTTTCAGTTCGTGGATAACAATCAAACGGTAAGGTTGCTTTCTTTCCGAAAATTTGCCTCCCTAGCAGCTTCCAAGAGCATGGTGCCGTTTCCCTTCAGGACATAGATTAACCCGGCCTGTTTAATCCTTAATATGGCGTCTCCAGGTCAGGAGTATCTCCAAATTATATGTTAGACTTTTCCTTTTTGTTCCTCCTTATCCTTTGCATTGCTGTGTAGATATATTGTTATCTCTGTGGAACAGGTGTATATATATATATATATATATATATATATATATATATAGAGAGAGAGAGAGAGAGAGAGAGAGTTTTGTGTATGTCTTAGTATTATAAAAGTCTCTCTGAGAACAAAGCGTGTTTGCCATTCTTTTTTTCTTTTCAGCCATTCTGTTCCATCACGTCCGTGAGCTACGGTGTTGTTATATCCCGGATTTAACCATGCCCATCACGGCAGAAACGTAAGCTAGGGAATAGGTCTTTCTTCTATAGCTCTCCTCTCGATACGCCCGTAACTGTTATCGCCATTTTTAGTATTGACTTGTTACCACTAGTTGGAAGTCATGAACATTAACATCTTGAATGTGCCCTTATCTTCTGTTCGAGTTAAATGTGCTATTCTTTTTAGTTGTTGCCGCTGTTGTAAATCCTTAATTGATATGCTTTCTATTATTTTGGTAAAGTTCTTTGGAATTCTGTAGTGCCAGTCCACGACAATCGAAGAAATATTGTCCTCTCTAAAATCTATACGTTTCAATCATTGTTCTTAGAAAGGCGACTGTATAGTGTTTTACTAAGCATAGTTTAGCTGTGGCACAAGACCGGAAATAAAGTGGTTTTATAAAGGAAAGTGTTTAGAAATTTCTGGCAAAGTTTGACGCAATGCCTGACATGTATATTAAAGTCTCGGGGCTATTAGTGTATATTTTCGTTTCAAAAAGAAACATTGCAAGGTCAATGCCAACTTAGAGGTGGTTCAACGAAAGCGTCTTTTTTTTTCTTTTTACTCTTTACTATCATTGCCAAAGCGACGGTGGCTCTTATTAACCGGGGGAGAGGTGTCCCTGATTTACTGGGCTCGGATTAAAATGAGGACATAGCATATTCAAGAAGATAAAAATCGATAAGGACACCTCGAGAACATCCGCAAAAACGGAATTAATTCATCCTTATGAAAACGTTTGTACATTTTTGGGAGTCCATTTTTTTTTTTTGTCACGTCCGTTTGTTCTTAAAGAAGAATATGAATGAAGCTAGACTTATTAACTGCAGAGATGAGGGCTAACATTTTCCGCTGATATGAATTGGAAACATTATATTGAATCAATTGCTCCGTCTAATGCCAGGAACGTTGGTTCCCCGCGTTGTGCTAGACATCTTTTTCTCGTCAGAATCTCTCTTACATATTCATGAGTCTGCCATCCTTCTATGATTTGCATATTACTGCAACATATGGACTGCTGCTTTTGCGATGTATTTAGAGATTCTAGATAAAATACAAAGAAAAATATGCAATATAACTAGTCCAGACCTGGCATCTCGGCTTCAGCCGCTATCCTAACGCCTTGACGTGTCTTCCTTCACTATTTTCTATAAATATGTTCATGGCAGTTGTTCTAATGGTCTTGCCCCCGCGGTACATCGATGATATGCCCCGGAAAGGTATATATTTGATCGAAGTAGCTAAATGGTTTTGGCTACTGTAACCAAGTAGTATACGGTAGCAGTAATCGACTGGTACTCGTCGTAGTCGCACGTAATAGGTGTAGACCAATAGGATAGCCAATGGTGTAGTCCAATGGGCGTCGTCATAGACTTAAAACTCTGTCGTATCTACACGTCCGTCTGTATTTATGACGGGCACCAGCCAATCATGTTCCAGTGAGGGGGAACTCAGGTGTATCCATATTCCATTATATCAATCGATCGCTTGGAATTAAGCGCAGTATTAGATTGGCAGCCAGGTTGAATTGCCCTGATGTAACCGCAAGTTCTCTGCTAACAGTTTCTTCTCTCGCACTCTTCGCGTCTTGCTTCCTAATCAAATTTGATCTTCAAAAATTGAAATGCAATAAACAGTTTTAATTTTCTGTCTTCTTAATTCCTGTTCTTTTATTGTTCTCTCCCCTTAATAACATTTTCTTTTTCTCATATTCTTTCCTGCTCAGTAACCCGCTTGTGTCTTAGTGACTTTATTGCCTTGCTTGGGAGCGAAATGATTTTATTGTCCACTCACCTTAACATTATATTTTTCTCATATTTTCTAACACTCGTAAGTTCTATACTAACAGTTTCTTCGATCGCACTTCTCGCTTGTGGAACTCTCTCCCGGCTTCTTGCTTCCCAGTTAACTTTGATCTTCAAACATGTAATTGCAAGGTCAATTTTCATCTTCTTAATTCCTCAATTTTTATCTTCTTAATTCTCTCTCCTTAATAATGTTTTCTTTATTCATATTCTTTCATAACCGGTAACCCGTTTGTGTCTTAGTGGCTTTATCGCCTTGTTTGTGCGTGAAATGATTATTAAAAATTTCTGGTTGGAAATTTTTAAAGATAATATATTAAATAGTCATTTCACTTAACTTGATTTTTCTTTTCCCCCTTTTGATATAAATTTATGCCAACTCTCTGGGTATGACGATAAACTACATCCGGCAGCAAGGTCACTGATCGGGAGATTCAACGTTCTGAGGATCGTGGAACCACGTCTCAAGTGTTGTTGTTCCCAGGTCTACTCTAACTCGGGGTGGTAGCACCTGTTAATGCCAGTGTTGTAGAATAGCTGAACACCCCCACAAGATGGACTGGTCTAAGATTATTTAAACTCTCTCTCTCTCTCTCTCTCTCTCTCTCTCTCTCTCTCTATCTATCTATCTATCTATCTATCTTACTGAGTGAGGAGGATTTAACGATTAACTATTTGATGCATTAATCTGTGTTCTCAAATGTGTACCATATTATTCTCCGGAATAAACTACTTCTTATTTTCTATATGTGTGTCAAGTTTTCTCTTTACGGCACAATGCCCAGCTGTGGGCAAATACTGACACCACCGCAAACAAAACTTAATAATACATGTTTATAATAAAATAACCATCAATACTTTATGGTATATAGAGATGAAAGTTGGGCTAATACCTATGTAAAGACTAAATTTATTGTCTTAAGTACCATTTTATTGTTGCCTCTATTTGGTTACAATGGTTAAAATGGATGACTATTGTCGTCTTCCTATTTGTGATTTTGAGGGCCTTCTTTTTCTTCTGGAGTTGCCTGTCCGGTGAAACTCTCAACCGATGAATCTGCAACCCTTGAGTTACCACATCGGGAGTGGGTGTTTTTTTTTTTTTCACTCTTTATCATTACCATAATTTATTTATATGTTTGTCCCACATTATTATTGTTGCTTTTTATTTCAACTCTCTGTCTAAATAAACAATTATTATTATCATTTTGTTTCGAGTTTTACTCCAACTAATTAGTCTTAAATTATATCATGACATTCTGTTTCAATAAATTCTTCGATGATAAAAAAAAAAGATATAAAAATTTGATTCTGAGGAAACTTAGTGTCGAATAGGAAGATTTCACTTAATCTTTTTTGTTCCTATGGACGTCATCTTAAACATTTCGGTCAATTATTTTTATGATTTTCCGCTATTTGTTCTGGCTCATCGTCTGTATGTCACATAGACTAGATGTAACAATGTCTGGATGTCACATAGTCAGGATAGCATATAGACTGGTTGTCACATATTCAGGATGTCACATTGTCTGGATGTCACATAGGATGTCCCATAAACATGACGTCAGACAGTCAGAATAGCAAATAGTCTGGGTGTCGCATAGTCCGGATGTCACATAGTCTGGATGCCATATAGTCAGGATGTGACATAATGTGAATGTGACATAGTATGGATGTCACATAGGATATCACATAAACATGATGTCAGATAGTCAGGATAGCATATAGTCTGGATGTCACATAGTCAGGATGTCACATTGTCTGGATGTCACATAGTCAGAATGTCACATAATCAGGATGTCACATAGTCAGGATAGCATATGCACTGGCTGTCAGATAATCAGAATGTCACATAATCAGGATGTCACATAGTCAGGATAGCATATGGACTGGCTGTCACATAATCTGGCTGTCACATAATCTGGATGTCACATAGTCAGGATGTCACATTGTCTGGATGTCACAGAGTCAGGATGTCACATTGTCTGCATGTCACATAGTCAGGATGTCACATAATCAGGATGTCACATAGGATAGCATATAGACTGGGTGTCGCATATTCAGGATGTCACCTTGTCTGAATGTCACATAGTCAGGATGTCACATAAACATGATGTCAGATAGTCAGTATAGCATATAGTCTGGTTGTCGCATAGTCCGGATGTCACATAGTCTGGAAGTCATATAGTCAGGATGTGACATAATGTGGATGTGACATAGTCTGGATGTCACCTAGTCTGGATGTCCCATAGTCTAGATGTAACATCATCTGGAAGTCATATAGTCTGAATGTAAAATGGAGTTTTTGTTTTTTTACCCTGCTAGGCATTTGTGTGTGTGCTGACAAAACATTTGGATCACAATGTATGTTTCATCCTGCAAGGTTTGTTGAATGTGTTTACGTATGTGTCAATGCTCCAGCGCGCATCTTCCGGCGGGTGAATGTGTTGAGAACATCAGCCCTCTCCGAACATTGTCATTAATTTTCTCCTCACAAGAAAGAAATCAATCTTTGTCTTCCCACCTCATCGTTTTCACTGTTCTTTCTACCGCTAACACTTCTTTCACCATTAATCCTCTCTTCCTCCGCCTTCTTTATGATTTTTCCTTCTCGATTTCGTTTTCTTCTTCTTCTTCTTCTTCTTCTTCTTCTTCTTCTTCTTCTTCTTTTCGCTTTATTCTTCTTCTTTTCGCTTTCTTCTCGATTTCTTCTTCTTCATCATTTTCTTCTCCTTCTTTTCGCTTTCTTCTCGATTTCTTCTTCTTCATCATTTTCTTCTCCTTCTTTTCGCTTTCTTCTCGATTTCTTCTTCTTCATCATTTTCTTCTCCTTCTTTTCGCTTTCTTCTCGATTTCTTCTTCTTCATCATTTTCTTCTCCTTCTTTTCGCTTTCTTCTCGATTTCTTCTTCTTCATCATTTTCTTCTCCTTCTTTTCGATTTCTTCTCGATTTCTTCTTCTTCATCATTTTCTTCTCCTTCTTTTCGATTTCTTCTCGATTTCTTCTTCTTCATCATTTTCTTCTCCTTCTTTTCGATTTCTTCTCGATTTCTTCTTCTTCATCATTTTCTTCTTCTTTTCGATTTCTTTTCGATTTCTTTTTATTCTTCTTCTCGATTTTTTCTTCTTCTTCGTAATTTTTTCTTCTTTTCGATTTCTTCTTCTTCTTCTTTTCGCTTTCTTCTCGATTTCTTCATCATCTTCTTCTTCTTCTTTTTCGATTTCTTCTTCTTCTTCTTCTTCATTTTCTTCTCCTTTTTCTTTCTCTTAATCTTCTTCTTCTTGATTATTTCTTCTTCTCAACTTCTTCATCTTCTTACCCTTCTTCTTCTCGATCTCTTTTTTCTCGATCTCTATTTTTACTTGTTCTTCGTAGTCTTACTCCTATTATTCGTTTTTCTTCTTCTCGATTTCTTTTCCTTCTTACCCTTCTTTTTGATCTCTTCTTCTTCTTCTTCTTCTTCTTCTTCTCGATTTCTATTTCTCCTACTTCTTCTTCTTCTTACTCTTACTCTTCTTCTTTACGAATTCTTTTTCTTCTACCTCTCGATATTTTCTTCTTCTTCTTCTTCTACTCTTACTCTTCTTCCCAATTTCTTCTTCTTTTTATTCTTTCCTCTTCTTTTTACTCTTCTTCGTCTTCTCGATTTCTTCTTCTCGATCTCTTTTTCTTCTTCTTCTTCTCTTAATCTTCTTCTTCTTCCCCTTCTTCTTCTTCTTATCTTACCCTTCTTCTTCTTTTTTCTTCTCTTACTCTTCTTCTCGATTTCTTCTTCATCTTCTCGACTTCTTCCTCTTCTTCCTCTTCCTCCTTCTTCTTCTTCTTCTCCTCCTCCTACGCTTACACTTCTTTTTTTCTTTTTCTTTTTTCCTCTTCTTTTTACTATTAGTCTTCTTCGTCTTCTCGATTTCTTCTTCTCTTAATCTTCTTCTTCTTCTTCTTCTACTTCTTCTCTTACTCTTCTTCTTTTTCTCTTACTCTTCTTCTTCTCTTAATCTTCTTCTCGATTTCTTCTTCATCTTCTCGACTTCTTCTTCCTCTTCCTTTTCTTCTCCTCCTCCTCCTTCTCCTCCTCCTCCTCCTCCTTCTTCTTCTTCTTCTTCTTCTTCTTCTTCCGCTGCTGTTGTCATTAATGCTTCAATGCATCCATTTCCAATGATTCTTTTTTTCCCCCGATTTTATTTTATTTTTCTGATTGTCCGATGCCTAGAAGCGAAACGAAACATTTCTCCAAATTCGATTACCTCAATTTCTCAATGTCAAAACTCTCCGTTGGCGGAGATGACGAAGACAGAACAGAATAAAAGCTCGTATTAAAATGAAAAAAAAAAAAAAAAAAAAACATACGTGTAAAAAAAAAAACAAAAAAAAAAAACAGTAATCACTTCATCTTTTTATCACCAGCCGATGAAGGCAACAGAAGATAAACCATCGGCCGTAATTCTTAAGAAATCCACAGCGTTTATCAATTTGGAAAATCTGGGACATTTACGGTTAATGACAGACGTTATTTATTAGAATTGCGTATCCGAGGTTTTTAGTTGCGAAGAATGTCTCTTCGACCCACGTCTCTTACTTTGTCGCGTTCGTCATTGTCATCAATCACATTCAACTAAGTTTGAAAAACCAGACATTATCGCTGTCAACCCAATTCCGTGGTATATAAACGGAAAATAAAAAAACAAATATGCGTTTCAATTCATTCAACCTCAGGTAAAATACTTAACATCAGGAAAAGACAGTTGAAACCTCTAAGGTAGTACCTGGAAAATTTGATTTTTTTTTATTTAATCATTTCACCCTGAGCAAGGCAATACTTCCAACAAGATGCAAGAGGTTACTGAGTGCTAGATAATATGAGAAAAATACTATTCAGTTAGAGAACAAAAAGAGAACAAGAATTAAGAAGACAGAAGATAACGATTGACATTGCACAAACATTTTTGAAGATCAAACCTGACAGGACAACGATAAACCGGAAGAGAGTTCCACAAACGAGAAGTGCGAGAATAGAAACTATTTGCATAGAACTTACTGTTACATCTAGCCATTTCAACTATTAGGTTGGGGCAAAAATAATGACGTAATAATGTCGTTTTTTGACCTTAAAAAATACGTCAAAAAACGACATTATTACGTCATTATTTTTGCACCAACCTAATATAAAATGATGAGATCTTGCTTCACTCAGTCAGTTATGTGCCATGCGTGATACACGCTTAGGCGATCATGTATCTTTCGATACATGACTGACGAGGCAGTTTTTTTGGTTTTTTTTTCCGCAGAAGGTTGCCATTTTTTTATGCGCTAGAAAAGTTGCCATCCAAGGCTATAGAACCCGGTCTGTCATGCTATTTACCGATAGCTGGGGATGAAGAAGAGAATTCAAGGGTATTATTACGTAAGTGAATGTAATGGATTCGACTGGAATTCGAACTCGGTTCTCTGATTCCTCAATCCGAGCCTCTATCCGTTATCCCCCATAGAAGAGATCTTGCTTACTGCGCTTAAATTCATAATGCCTAGGTATCATAGAGGAACGTTTTTCAGAACAATTACTATGAAAGTCCTTATAGAAAAGGCTGCTGCGATAGGAAAGTGACTGAAGCCGAGATGCCAGGCCGGGACTAATAGCATTGCGGATTTTTTTTTTTTTTTTTGATTTTATCAATAATCTCTAAATATATAGGAGAGGTAGCAGATCAGATGTGGCAGTAATACTTAAAACATGAACGAATGGGAGACTTATAAATATGTAAGAGAGATTCTAACGAGAAAAATGGTCTGGAAAGACACAGCGAATCAAATTCGCTAGCAGCGGACCTAGCAATTATTTCAATATAATCTTCGCACTTCATGCCAGCGGTAAACGTTAGTCCGCAAATATGCAAGGTGCCAGCATCTGCCATAGTGATAGAAGGCAAACAAATTTTCTCTCAGACGATTAAAAAAGAGCAGTTTCATTTTGAAGGCGTTAAAATTAGCAAGCCATTCCTTGCCCCGGTTAACAAGAGAATATAAACCATTTTTGACGTCAGCTTACAAGTTGACCTTATCCAACCGTTTACTATTAAGACAAGAATAAATAGTTTTTTCATCAGCATAGATACCGAGTTGAGAACTGATGACATCAGGAAACTCGTTGATGAAAATAAGAAGCAACATAATTCCAAAGGACAAGAAATTGTGGAGAACCATGTCCTGGATCGACACAGAAACGTACAAGAAGAAAGATGAATTACTTTTAAAATCCACATATCATCATTATCAGCGTCATCAACATCATCTGTCTCATATCAATTGGGGTCGTAAGGTCGCCGTGCAATTGACCACCTGAAAGGTAGTGTCTCTCGAAGCCGCAAATTTCTACAAAACCTCAACCAGACATGTACGTAAATATCTCGTCAGATGGAAACTTTCATCGAGACTTGCATCGTGTCCTCTGTATATAACAGCTTTCTATGTTCCATGTTTAAAAATGGAAGCCTGGGGGTTTCAGGAAAGACAACATTTCTTTCAACATTAGCCCTACAGAATCGTAAACAAAGATTATAAATCGAAGAGAAAATAATGAGATAATCGAGATGTTGCCATTCCACCCTACTTCAAACGAAAGTTTAAGAAGGAAGCACAAATCATTACCAGAAATATATATATATATATATATATATATATATATATATATATATATATATATATATATGTATGTGTGTGTGTGTGTCTTATATGCACGTTTTTATCGTTGCTTGGAAATCATCCATGTAAACAGAAACAAACTATCATAAAATTCTTGTACGTGTATTGCTTAATATATTGTACTGTAATTGTCATCTTTCATAATGGCTTATGTAAGCCGAAAGCTTAGATTGGATTAAAAAATATGTATCAATATTGTGATTTTCTTTCTTCTTTTAATGATAATGTTATTAAGCTTATCAGATGATATGAAAAGAATTTATATAAAATAAATAGACAACACTTGTCTATATTATTTAATGAAACATGTATGAATATATATTTATATCTATATCTATATATATATATATCTGTCTCTCTCTATCTCTCTCTCTCTCTCTCTATCTATATATATATATATATATATATATATATATATATATATATATACAGAATATACACGTGTAACGTGACCCTCGCGTATCGTGCGACCCCAAATTTTCACTTATAAAAAATGATTTTATCATGTATCTCATGTATTCCCTGAGTTCTTTTCTGAGAGACCAAATTACAATATATTAACCCCTTTTTCTATCTCTTTATCCCATCTTCTAGTTAAATAAGTTAAAAAAGTAAAAGAGAAGGTTAAAAGTATCGTTAGTAATGCTATACTCGTTGCGTAAACGCGTACAGTCATAAACAACCGAACGAGAAACAGGTAAACATCTTATAAATTTAAACAATGGAAAAGATGCATTTTCGCTATGTTTATATTTTATAAGACGATACTAATATATTATACATACATTAATATTGGATACAGTTAAGTAAAACATTTTCTTATGAAAATCATGTTTATTTTAAATACAGCTGTACTTTTTGACTACAGTAAATGGATATATAGTTTGGTCAACGGAGTAGTCAGGGTCAGCAGTACATACGCTAATTTTATATCACATGTATGGTGCAACCCTCTTAAAATTAGCTTCAGAATTAGGTCTTCAAAAGTCACATGATACGCTTTCGCTTAACATTTACACGGCGCAATTAAAGTTCATGATCATTCCCCCATAATGATATTAATTATCCACCAAAAAAGTTAAAGGAGGAATCCGTTTCCTGCGGCACATTGAGATTGTTTGCTTCATAGGCGTGGAGTGAATCTTTCTTTTCTCAGTTAATGGTAATACAATTTTGGGCGGATATATCCAGTTTCTACAGCGAAAGAGTTACAATTGGGGAAAATAGGTTACTCACGTCCACTAACAGTTATAGCTCTTTCTACTATTGATGGGAGTTTCCTTCCTAAACTTTTGTTTAAGGTATTGTGGAAAGTCAACATCTTAACTCATATTATTATTTTCCTTCTACTTAAATCTCCTATATATTTTAAATATCGATCCTGGAAGTTTTACGCGATGCTGTCTTTGTGATTTGATCGATAAATAAGTAGATAGACTGATAGATATAATGATATAGATAGATAGATATGAACCGAATGAGATAGATAGATAGATAGATAGATAGATAGATAGATAGATAGATAGATAGATATGAACAGAATGAGATAGACAAATAGATAAATAGATATAAAC